TCAGGTATCAGGTTATTCATCTCAAGTTCATCAAAAAAATCTGAATTGAACTGGGTCATTCCAAATGAAGTTGATGCCTCACCCTTCTAACTTAACAAACGGCCAAAAAAAGATAGAAAAACTTATCATTTATGTAAAGAACTCGGAATTAAGTTTCATGCCCGAGGTTTTGCCCTTTTGAGTTTTGGCAGCTGAAGTAGCAAGAAACACGCGAGTGTAAAACAGACAGACTGGTACTTGGTTCTGTATATAGAATAAAAACGATCAGTCAGATCTTGCAATTGAAACTTGAAGCTTGAAGTTTAAACAGTGTCTTGATACATATGTCATACTTCGGAAAACTGGTAGACAGAACTTATCAGCCACAGGGGTACGTACTATTTTTCTATTCCGCAATTTTACATATTGGAAACTCCCTTTTTTTGCGCAGTTTCTCTTTATTGGAGACTCATTAAACCCAAGTGAAGTCTGTTCCCCTTTACATTAATTCAGGTGACTCAACTTTTTCGTGTGGCGTTCTACTCAATTCTACATACTTCCTACCATACTAAGTCCTTTCCAGGACCTTTCCCTTTCGTAAACGGTAAAGTGACTAAACTCAGAACTGTTAACATTTCTATGTTTGGTATCCAAGATTATCGAGTAGTTAATCCCACGTCATGATCAACAATCGCTTTTATTAGAAAACTATTTCGATATAGACAAAAGTATATAAAATATTTTCTGCCTATATTACAATTAGCCATAACACACGTCAATTTACGCTCGAACGCTAATTAAGTAGTATGTATGTGGCATTGCATACGAACAACTTAGATTTTGAGCGTGTCAATCATCTTTTGATGTTGTTATTTTAGGCTGGACTTTAGAACTTTGATTTTGAAGCTGTGGCACGCGAATAAACTTGACTCACTCGCTCTGAGTCATTCCATGGGATAAAATCATTCCTTGCGAGTTCATAGCCATAATGATGCACTCTTAATTCGAATTCGCATTCTTATTGCCTTTGTGAAGTCATCAATAAGTATATCAGCTATGTATTATCAAGCATCCTTCGGAATAAAGGCTGAACCTTGAGCGCTATCACTTACCATTTACTTCCACCCAGGACCAATATTGTAGTCTCGAGGCCGCAAAGAAAAGAGATATTCGAAGACGGTACACCTATATATCTACTTATGAATTTCAGGACCCATGTCTTTCCTCAGAAAGGTTTGATCTGAAAATCGCTGATTCTGGAATTTTTGTCCGGACTTTTTTTCTGTCTATTTTCGAAATTTTTGTCCGGATAACCGTCATCACCTCTCAAAAAGAAATTTTTTGTCCGGACTATGACCTAACATTTCGGCCAAATTCCGAAAAATTTGTCCGGACTGCAGATCAAACCTCTCTGAGAAAAGACATGGGTCCTTGAATTTCTCATTAGAGCTAATTTCATAATTATACGGAAAAACAAAATTTTTTCGATCATGGAGCTCACCTATAAGCTCACTCGGCTTTACTCGGCTTGACAAATCAACCGAATTCTGGCATCTGAAAAACTGCCGCGGCTGGAAGCAGGAATTCCATTGGAATCCCCCGTGTTCAGAACTGTTCTAGACTATTATGACGTCTTCGCTCATTTTCATTCGCTACATCGACATGTTGTTTGTTTGTCACTGCCTTTGCTCAATACAAATTGAGTGCAGCTTGCCTTTTTGGGAGAAGCAGAGCTGTAAGCCGTATTGTTGCCGCATGGGAAGATGCCGATGATTTGCCAAAGGCTCGATGAGCTCCGTGAGGTGAGCTCACGATCGAAAATTTTTCGTTTTTCCGTATAATTATGAAATTAGCTCTAAGTCAAACTATAGCTAATCTGGAGACTATCACTGTAACGTCAAATTCCGATTCGGCCTCGGTGCTAACTGGGAAGACTGCCTGTCCAGGGTACCAATGATGGTAAGGAACTCTACCGTTTCTTTTTTTCAGATTCAGTGATGTTGATGAAATTTGCGTTTTTGTGGAACGGGCACTTGGCACAGCGGTAGCGCGCATGCTTCGCATCTGGAAATATGAACAAGTTGCATGAGGTCGTGAGTTCAATCCTCACAGTGTCCATAACTTGAACCAGATGGTTTATCGTTTTTTTGGCAGGTAAACGTGGTTATCACCAACAGTAAAGAAATTTTATAGAGGAGTGAGTGCTTGCATGATGTTTCGGGCGGTTCTTGAGCTACAATGGCCATTGTCAGACTAACGGATTAAATTGCTCATTGTTCAAAAGTCTTCATTCAGTCTTTACGAACCCAAAGGAAATAGATCGGGGGTGCAGATGGTGAGCGTACCCAACTACCTTTGAGAGAACATTAAGTACACCATCATGATATAGCTAGTTAGTTAGTCAACTACACGGCAGGGTCCTTGGTCGGAACAGCCGGACGACCAGTTGTATCCCAGCTACGAAACATCACTCTAGATCTCACACGGCGGTACAGAGGGAAAAGGGCAGAAGTAGGGTGTATTAGCAACTCGTCAGAAAGCTTCGCTTCTGTGTGAACGACCAATCAGCTGCGTCAGGAAGTCGTAGCCGACACTTTCTGACGTTGTTGCTAATACGCCCTAGTAAGTGTAAACGGAATGGCTCCAGAGTGCGATATGAACTTCTTCTAAACTTCATTTCCGAGCCCCAGGGCTCTCTCTCAGAAACCTGCGATAACGAATCATTTCATGAAAAGCTGGGAGTAAAACAAGATATGAACTGTAGAACTTCGACAGGTCAACCTCGTGTGGGCTGTCCCACTGATTAGAGATTTGTCATGTCAGGTGCAGATGCTTCCTAGTATTCTGAGGAAGCAGAGTATTGATCGGTATTGTTCACCCAGCTGCTTTCGTTCATTAAGGTTGTGGAGAGGTCGGTTGCACATGCTGCACCGTCCGCGTTCCTGGCGAGAACCAGTGCACATCCTGAAAGTGACAAATAACGGTGTCGAATCTCGGATGCCGCTAAGCCAAAAATGCGATAAATCGGGATACTTACCTTGGTGTGGTGTACGGGCCGACTCGAGATTCTGAACTCGGAAGCAGGAATGTCGCAACTCGTGTTTTCTCAGAAGGGGCTTAACTTGGAGTCCGAGTCGTCGAACTGAACTGGTTCTAGATAGTCATGGTACCGCAGTTACTACGTATATTGGAGGGTGTGTCGGAAGCACTAGTACTCACATCAGTGACATATGATTGTAGCAACCTTCGGACATCCAATTTCCTGGAACTGTAAATGAAGAAACATTCAAACATTCGATGATTCATAGAACTTAAGTGGCCACTTACTTCTACTTCAGGTGTATCGTGGAACGCTCAATTAATTTCTCGACTGATTTGTATAGTCAGAGATCAACCCTAGGTGAACCCAACCCCGCGTTAACTAAGTTTCCATCACAAGTTCATCATAAAATTGAGTTGTACGCGGCTTGAACACTTTCATCAACGAATGACCTAACAAGGTGGCTTTCTTATTCAAAGCCAACAGTAAGATCTAGCACCAAGCTACTCTATATCAAATCAAATCAAACCGAGCACATCCACCATTCACTCTATTTACAGGTAACGGTAAGTATGTATCTGAATGAATATGATTAGCACTCTTCGGAGTTGAATCGAGGAAGCCGTCCGTGCATAGATAAGAACGACGTGATAGAATAGGGATTCAGTCACTTTTCATTGAGTCAATTGAAATGAGGTGGTTCGTCATAGTTAGTGGCAGTGATGGGTCCGTCGGAGACAAATCGATGAACTCGATTTGGATAGATAGTACTAGTTATACACTTGTAGCGCCGGTCGGAGAGGGAGAGATTAGAGTCCTTTTGTTCACTATAGTCTCTGGCACTGGCTTTTCAGTTACATAAAACAAGACAAAAAAGAAAACGCAATCAGAGTACGTACCTACCTAATTTGAAAAAACAATCGCACCATTTTCATTTTCATGACTCCTCCTACCAAGTATCCATCATAACGCATGTTAGCGTTATTTGGCATATACTATGCGCTCCATTTGCCTACTAATAATATAAAGATAGTGGACATCGGCAGAACATAACTAGGACACCTACACTTTTCTACCTACCAGGACAAGAAAGACGGTCTCAGGCCACATGGCTACTGGTAAGTATGAATTGCACATTTCTATTGAATATTCTGACTGGAATCGGAAGGCCTTTTACCGTTTCAACGGAGTGAACGCCTTGTTATCGTCTATCATAGTTCCCAATTCAACGTACAGTCTCGATTATTCAGATTCATTCAAGACTTGTGTCGTTTTGAACGGTCTTCTTTTGTTTTGATGTCTTGACCATCTTGCCCTTATCCTTGAGCATCACCACGTTACCGGTTATGACAATTTCTAGTTCAATGTGCAGTTCTGATTCATTCAGACTTGTGTTGTTGTGTGCGGAGAGTTACGAGGCCTCGGAATTGTCCTTACTACATAGCGTGGCAGAAACGTGAGACTCAGATGTTAAGCACCAGATGGAGTTCAATGACATGCTAATTAAACGGCGTTCGTCGGCGTTGTACTTATACTATCGGGTAGATACCGGATGATATGATAAGATAAAATTCCATCAATGACAGCCACCTGCGCGAGTCGAGTTTAGTAAGGACGAGTCCTCCCTAAAGTCGGCCTCGTAACTTGCATCGCTGGCAGGCGCTTCAAGTTATTTTTCATTAAGGGCCTCGTACTACATCATCATGTACATGCCGCGTGAATGCGACGGCCTGTTTTCTTGATAGATACTCTCGTAATCCAAGTCATACTTTCTGTCATGAGGGACTTCTCAGAGCGTCTATCTGTCAACACACACTCTATATAGAGGTCTAAGTGCGACCATTAGCGCTAGCAGAGAATCTTTTCCAAGGAAGCCCCACCAACGAACTTCCTCGACATGTCCTCCAACAAGCCCTCCTCTCCTCCCCCATATGAAACCGTCTCCGGTAGGACAAATTCCAGCCAGTTTGATAGAGCGACATTGAATAGCGTCGGTGGAAATCAGAGCCATGACCACCGCGGCCGGTCAAGCGATACGATCCGTTACGATTCCCGAACATTTGGGACTATCAATGGGAAATATACCGAGAACGATAATCGACTCATCCATCGCAATATTGAGAACGCTCGAGATTACCATGAAAATCGGGGAAATGACGAGGATTCTGGATGGAGTGAGTACCTGGAAACCTTTTTGTTTGGAATAATTTTCATCTGGAAAAAAAGAAGAACAATATTTTGAAGATACAAGCGTGACTACGACTGCCCAGCAGCCTAGACTCCCGCCAAACCAAATCGCACAGTCAAATCGTCCGCGCGAGAACGACAACTCCCGTCCGGGTGTCAGAGTAAGTATTTGTGATTGTATGACGGCGGTGCCATTTAGCCCCTCTACCAATCCGTCTCCCTGCTTTTTGCTCACGAGTACCTCCCTAGTTTGACTCCGTTTACTTATTGACGTCTCTTTTGTTCTTGACATGGTCCATCTGCATCTACTACTGGCTTTTCTTACGGTGATTGGCACGAAGGTGAACCGATAGAAAGTGTTAAATGGTTTTTCTTGGGTGTAGCTGATATTGCTGGTTATTCTTTAATTTAGTCAGACACGTATAAGTAGGAAAATAGCTTGTAAAAGTTCCATATGGTGGAACGATACAAATCCCATCAGTGCCAACACTCTTCTCCTTCTGTTCCAGTGTTTCACTTTTTTCGAGAAAAAGCGCTAGCGGACGATGCATAAGGGAAGGAAGGGTAGATTGACAAAAAGTGGGGTGAGGAGTAATGGTGTGCATTACATGATGATGGACAGGAAACGAGAATGGAGGAGGGGGAGGAGTCTATTAACCGGACAAGGTCCAATGGAACTCACTAATATCGTTGACGCAGCCCAACACCTATTCCTAAGGAATCGACAGAGTAGCACGTTACACATTCATCGAACCCATATTTCCCCCTGACTTCCTTCGCTAGCTTTCTCACTATGGAAGACCTCCAATCAAGGACGGTGCCGAACACGTCGAACACGAGAGCTTCGACGTCGTGCAAGGCCCCGGACATTCTCTGGTTCTCTTAACAGGATAAAGTAGGATTCGGTGGAAGTAGTGTCGGACTAGAGAAGGAATCTGGTCGTCTGTGATCTTTCTGAGATGTGTGTATAAACAGATGTTTTGGAGTCGTTCATGGTGGTCACCGGTTGCATTGACCGTGCGTTAAAACGAGATTCATTCCTGAGAAAGAAACTGAGAATGCGTACCCATAAGATCCAATTACACAGTAGCTTTCAGGCTGTAGATAAGGAATGTAGAGCACGAGAGGTTGATAAGATATTGAAGAACAAACAATGGAAGCATCGTTCGTGAACATGTAGAGGAGAGAAAGCAGAAACTTGCGTGACTTTGCAGACGCGCCGACGCGCGTCGCAGCATCGCAAAATCCAACTACTCCTCCTCCTCCTCCTCCCTGTAGCAAAAAGTACAACTGCCATACTGAGTGAGCTCGTGTGATTTTCAAGCCTATTCTACTAGGCTTCTAGGCTGTTGACAGTGTTCAATTGCTCGACTCAGCGGATTGTCTGTGCTACTTGGCAATTCTCCTGAGTGGCACGCTGTTCCTACTTACAGTCTCTTACAGTACTCAAGTACTCAAGTACTCACAGCTTATCCTGTTGCTTCCTTGGCGGGTGGTGATATGCATTAATGACGCATTCTTCTACAACTTGTTTCAAAAATACTTATCAGTACATATTGGCCACGGATACTAACCGGACGTAGAGATCCCGAAGTTCCGCCTTTATAAAGGGAACGCTTTTGGTTGGTAAAATGGCGTTTATAGCACCCACGCTGTCCGCACCCACTGCCAGTAAGTATTACTATGAAGTACGGTACGTCGACATCGCTATCTCTATCTTTGTAACTCTACTCCGATTGCTAAGCGCTCCTTATCGCACGTTAGTCCGACTCGGAAACTCCGGATTGAAAATATCCAAACTGGTTCTCGGATGCATGTCCTACGGTGATTCCAACTGGCAAACTTGGGTTTTGCCGGAAGAGGAGGGTATAAAGCAGATCAAAGCAGCGTG